CTCTATCGAATCAACAAGATGGAAGAGTTCAATGCACAGGTCAACGAGGTCCGGGACGAAATCAGCAAAGTCGTCATCCTGAATGACGAGACATGGGAAGGACTGAGGTGCCGGATATGCCCATCATGTGCGACCGCGATCCCCACCTGCTTCTGCTTATGCCTGGAATGCGAAGCACAACTGATCTCCATCGGAAGGTATTACATTCACATCAAATCCGATGACGAGGAGGACAACCAAAACCCCAACGTCTCTGGAGATGCCAGGCGTGCACAGGAAGAAGCTAACCACGATGCGGCAGCACAGGTGGATGAAGACGAAGCGGAGGAAGTTCCGGGAGAAGATGACGACATGGACACGCAAGGATATACATCCGGCTATGCGTCAGAAGAAGAAGACAGCGGTTGGCATTACCGCGACACCGATCTGGCGTCACGGGACATTATAAGTTCCCAACGGATGGCGATCTGCCTTGACGAGCCGCGTGAGGCTCAGTACATGGCAGGATTTTTCGCACTCCAGCTGTCCAAGATGTGGGGGATGTTTGAAGGTGGTGAGGAGAGAACGATGAATGCCGGACTCGAAGGGAATCCGGGCTGCCCTTATCACAATGATTTCAAGAGGTACCCCAACATCACTGAGCACGATCAGGAAGGTATATTATTGCCATCAACAACAACGAAGATTTCTCAATCGGAGAATGTTCGGACAAGAGCCTTCCGATCGGTTGAGGAGCGTGACGAATATATTCGTATGATGGTGTGAAAATGCGAGGGACTTTACACATTCTACAAGCTGTGGATTGCAGCGAGAATCCTCGATGTCACCAAGGAAGAAATGAAGCTCCTGGTCAAGGACCGAGTGCACCCGGGGGGTGATATTATTTTCAGATGTTTTGCACTAGCTTTCAACTGTAAGTATATATCATTCGTGAGGGATGGCCTGAACCTTGGCAAACATGGTTACACGGTAAACGTGAGCGCCATCATCTCGGCCGTCGACCCGAACAAATGCGACACACCCCTGCTGGATTGGTGCCTTCGGAAAGGGCACTGGTTGCCAGAGGACTACAACAAGAAGTGTGTCCGGGCACGAGAAGCTCAGAAGAACTTGGACGAGGAGTTCCGTCGACGCACTCACAGACTGTCCATTGGGGACCGGTTTGCGTAGTGAAGATGTTGATTGCGGCACGATGTGGGTTAGTCCCCATCTGTTGCTTGCGTCTCATCAACACCATTGAGACGGAACGACTCTACATTATGATATGATTTCATATATCCAAGTTGAATGGATGTGTACATGGTTACATATTCCGATGACTATGACGCTCTGGATATTCATGGATGGACCTATTACCTTATAGATGATATCTTTTCATTATTTATGCATTGTCCATGGTATCTGGAATGGCTATGATTTGCATTGATTACTCACCGATGTTTCTTTGCCGGAGATTTGCAGACCGATCACAAGCGGGCGCGTCTGGTGGACTTTTGTGGCCAACCCATTTATGGATGACAGCTGCGCGATGCGCAAATGCGGCAGCTGGAATGTTCACTGGCGGTCAAGTGAAGTGGCCACAGTGTATTATATACACCTGCATATGGATGTGTGCTTCGATTGGAGGATGAATGTTTCACTTTTCGTACAATCGAACCCGGCATGTGTCACAGCGAATGAACGGTGTAGTGATAGCAAGTAAAAGAATGCACGACACGATTTCGTAGTTGAAGCCGTGGCCAGTGGAACGTTTTGTGGTGTTTGGACCGCATGATGAACAATGCGACCCAAATGGGGGGTGTTAAAACCCTCTAGGCCCCGTGCCGAAATTGGGTAGCTGTTCTGAGGTCCTTGTTGGTGTTGCTTCCCAAGTTCCATTGATCGCCATTTGGCTCATGACACAATTGAGGTTCAAGATCTGATGTGTGACTGCATACATACGTGATCGGCATTGAGAGCGAAAACACTTCGCTTGCGCTGCATTTGTCGGGACTACTGTTGTAACTATCATTCCTTCTCCCTTACAACGTTTACACGGGTTCGGCTATAACGGCATCGTCCGTATACACCTTTCTACGTGGTTGGTATTACAGCTTGAGGGTTCGGTGCATAGCGTCCCACGGGACGTCACCTTGCCGTCTCTTGACAGAACACAACGGCCCCACGCCAAACTCCCTGTCAGCTCAGGATCCCAAAGTTCCGTGAAGACGGGCTTGAGCACGACCAGCGTGACAGGAATAGCCTTAGACAGAGAACAAGACAGAGGCAAGCGGGCAAGAGGGAGATAGAGAGAGTGTGAGAGTGAGAGTGAAAGTGCGAGTCCGACTGCAGCCTTGCGACCTCTCTCCCTCTCACCATGACTATTCCTGGCGCCGCTTCAGGATCAGGTTCGGCAGGTTCTCCGGGCGCTGCGCTCTCAGTGCTGCCAGGCATCTCTATCCGTGGCCGGATCTTGACCTTGCTGTTCGTGACGTCTGAGCTGGTCACCAGATGCAACTGGCCCACTGCAAAGAAGCGGTAGAACGCTTCATCTGATGGGATGTTCTCTGAAAGCAACTGCCGGATGTTGCAGGAGAGTGCTACCCAGACCAAGCAGTTCTTGTACATGCTAGGCCGGCCGCAGTCTGGAGGATCCAAGAGGTGAAGGATGTCCGATTATGAACACAAGTTCTTCGTGTGTGGTATGTGGTGCTTGTGTGTGTGTGTGTTTGATCAGGCTAACTTGTTCAGTCACGCTATGTTCAGGCGGCAAGAAAGAGGACCTCCAAGACTAGATGGAAAGAATTGGTCGGGCAACCAGCCTGCGAAAGCACCGCCCTGTGACATGCCATCACGGGTGTTGCGCGCATTGACGCCCAGCAGTCATCCTTAAGCGCGCGGCACAGCATGCGCATCAACTCGCAGACAGTGAAGTCAGCCACTGCCTCTGGTCTTCCTGCCCAAAGCTGCACAGGCGGTGTCTCTTCTTGCTGCGTCAAGAACTCCAAGGAAGTTTCTGGCATGGCACACAGAGCTTCTCGAAGCGGGACGAAGTCCAAGCGACGCAGCAAGGCGCGAGGAGCACTTTTCACTTCCAAAACATTTTCTACGGTTGAAAGCAGCCACTTCATCTTGGTACTGGTCCTGCGGTATTGAGTCTCGTTGGCGGCATAATGCAGCCAGTGCTTGCAGCCTTGAGCCACCATGAGCAAAACTTCTGGCTGCAGGCTCCACAGCCTGTTGTTGAAGGCAGGCAGTAAGCTTTGCCAGTCGTGCGCCTCCTGGGTGACGACGAGGACCGATTGGTCTCCCATGAAGCGACAGCCCTCACTCATGCGCCGCACCCATGGTCCCAGCAAAAGCGGGATCGAATTGCTGCCTGCGTCTCTTTGCAGGGCATTGCGAAGGACCTGCACTTTGCGAAGCCCATCCCCTTGAGCTACGGCCTCGTCATACCAGGATGAGGCTGCATGGTCTGCGGATACGAAGGAGTGGTCGAAGTTGATAGCCACAAACATGTTGCCTCCAAGCAATCAATGCTGCCGCTAACAGCAAGACACACCTCGTGAATCACGGCAGTTCCCCGGGAAGCTGCTCACAAACTCAGGCACTGAGGCTTCAGGCCATGGCAGTTGCCCTCGGCAGCTGAGCAACTCAGTCTACGCATTCATTGGAGAAATTGGTTCTGCGTGGGCTCGCAACAAGCTTGCCGAGAGCTGATTGACTAAAACAAGAACCTGAAATGCCCGCTACTCACACCTTTGTGCTGGGGCCAAAAAAAGGAGCCTGCGGGCTCAGCAACTCCGACTGGCGGACAGGTGACATCTCTGGGCAAAACATCACGAAAGAGCATGTGTTCACAAGACTGCTGACGTTGGGAGTGGAAGAGTTCTGTCTGCTTGGAAGGGCTCTCCTGAAATCTGAACAAGCAGCTCTCTCCCTCTCTCCGAAAGCAACCATGACTGCCTACAGTTCGGACAAGCAGTGCCTTGGCTGCAGTGCCGAGGGCTCCGCTACCATGAAAAGTATCAGGGGATTTCTCAGTATGCACGAACAAGGCCCATGCAGATTGACAGTCTCTCAGCAGTACTCTTTGCTCCGTCATCTGACAAGATCATGGCCGCAGACCGCAGAGAAAACTTGGCAGTGCCCCGGGCAGCTGCGCGGCAGCGCTCGGCCAATGCACCCACAATGTTTAGCAGGAACTTCCGTGTTACGGTAACTAATTGAAAGCTAGCAGGCTGATAAAAGTCAAGAGAAGAACGCAAGCGTGCAATGTATGCATGCGCGTGTGGCGGGGGAATAGAAGTGCTGAAAAAGTGCAACCCACTGCGCGTTTGCGCGTGTCCGGCGAGCTGAAAGCTAGCTTGCAGATTACGTAGCCGGCGCGGAACTTTCGCAGCGCGAGGTGCAGATTTCGTGGCAGTAGGCGCGGCAATTTCGTAACCTGAGGCACGTTTTGCGTGGCAGGGACAGCACTTTTGCAACCTCACGCGCAGATTTCGTGGCAGGGGCACACTTTCGCAAATAGAGGTGCGTTATGGTACGTTTTGCCAACCAAGAAAGAAAGAAAGATAGACGTAGAAGGGAAGAAGATAAACAAGGGAACAGACGCAGAAGGGAAGAAGCGCAAAACCAAACACATGTCCGAGCCAGGCCGCCGTGCCTAGATCTGAGGGCGCCGCCTGTCAAGCATGTCAACAAAAATAAAACATGGCAGTGCCCCGGGCAGCTGCGCGTCGATGCTTGGCACCTGCGCCCACGGCGCAAGAACAGGTCAAGTGGCTAAGCGCAAAGGCGAAGGTCTCCAAGCAGGAAGCTACCCCGCTCAAACGTCGCACGCGCAGTTCCCTACGCTGCAATTGCCTTGTGGCCGCAGGTTCGCGTTTTCTCTGAGATTGGCGCGGGCGCACAGCTGTGGAGCCGGCGCGCTACTGTACGTTTGGGAAGGCCGGGCCAAATGTTCGCTGACGACAAATGCAGCACTGGGGCTCTATGCCTGGCTGCCGCGCTCTGACCCCCTAATCGCAGACCGGAGCAGCCTGAGGGAAGGCATGACCATCCCCGCTGCCAAATGCATGCAAGCGAACACGGCACAGCCGCCTTTACAGCAGCCGCTTCTTCTCCACGGATCTCATCCACGGTGCGCTTGCGCACGGTGAGGCCGCCCTTGCCGGTGACCTTCTTGGTGGCTGCCCGCTTGGCGGCCCTCTGCGTGTGTCTGGCGCCGGTGGCTTTGTCGCTTGCCTTCTGCAAGAGGCCATGCTGCAAGAGATGGGCAAACGCCTTTTCAATCTTGGCGCGGAGATCTTTACGGAAAGCATCCCCCCTGCGGTTTCGCAGCCATCCCCGGACATCAGCAGAGGTGAACCAAGTGTTGTTGGGGACTCGCGAGATCAAGTTCTTCATGAAGATGTCCTCGCTGTTCAAAGGCTTTTCCTCGTCTTCTGGAGAAGCGATGAGCAAGGACGACGGTGTCTCCGCCTGCTTGGTGGCTGAGGCAGGCTCTTGCTGCTTGCAGGCAGCGAACCGATAGCTGGCAAAATGTGTTCGCGCCTGGCTAATCCATTTATGCAAGGCAACGCTGAACTCATCCAAGGACATGCGGAGGCGGCGCATGATCTCTGTCTCGTTGGCCTCGGGCAAGAGCGAGTGAAGAAACTGGACCGAGCGAAAGACCTTGTGGCAGTCCCTCTGAGAACATCGGAGTGGTAGAACATCAGTTTGGTCTTGAAAACCTGCGGCAGCTTGTTCTCGGAGAGGAAGTCTGCGATGGCCTGCTTGGCAGCTTCGTACATGCTGAGGGCCCGGCCATCCAGGCAGACTGTCACGGGCGGCTGGGCAACGCACATCCTGTGCATAAAGCTGTGCCAGTCGTGCAGCAAGGAATCACTGGCTGCAAATACCTGATGGTCCTGAGTTTGCAGCTCGCCTGAAACCCAGATCTGCTTCAGCCTCTTTTGAAAGCCGTGGACCTTGGGAAAAATGATCTGTTCGACCACTTCGGTCTGGCCAGCGGCTTTCAGCAAGAACTGGTACTGGCTCAGGCTAAAAGAACCATGGCCAGTGGTGGGGCCATCATATTCGGACTGAGTCCAAGTGTTGAGCTTGGTCATGGAGATGAAATGAAGACCTGCGTCACGATCGGACATCTTGGTTTCAAATGTGTTGGCTGCTTCGTCGCTGGAGACCCCGCAGCGGCCGAACTCTTTCAGGCAGTTCCTGATGCCCTTGGTGGTGCTGTCAGTGGTCAGGATCGAACGGTCCCTGAACTCTTCACCTGCATGCGGAACATCACAGAGCCACTCATCCGTCAGCTTGATCAGGGCACTCTTGCGCGTGGACGATGCGGATCCAATGATGACTGCGCTGCCCGGACTGATGAAGTGCTTGGCGCGGACATTGTGGCAAAGAACAGTCCCGGCCTGCTCGAGGAAGCCGATGTTGCTGTCCACACAGGCCATGAGTGCATCTGCTTGCACACCCCTCGCCCTAGCCAGGGCATGGATGGCTTCAGCGATGGGAGTCGCCGCGCAGAGGCGCAGATCAGGGTCTTCCTCAGCCGCCAGCTGACGGTGTGTCCTGGTGTCCGACCAAATGTCGGACAGGTTGCCCTTCACGGTGTCGTAGACCTCCTGCTTGCTCCGCAAGCCTTCGAACAAGCGGTCGGGGAAGAGAAGATCCTCAAACTCTGCACGCGACAGCCCGGCGCGCAACTTCTGCAGCATGGCATCAGATGGGTCTGGCTGCATCACATCTGTGGCTTCCTCCTCTGCAAACAGGTCCTCAAAGCACAGGCCGCGCCTGTCCGGGCGTGGGTCTGACAGCTGGGCTGACAGCTGGGACGACTCCGGGGGTGGCCCCTGCGCTCTCGCCTTGCGTAGGTGTTGTGGGCGGCGAAGACAGCTTGGCAATCCCCCGGGGAGTTGCGCAGCTGGTTGTCCTTGTTGCGGTTGTCCTCAAGAGGACGCCCTTGCAGTGCAGGGCGATCAGCAGACTGTGAAAGTAGCAATCTCCGCCATCTCTGACCCAGTCCACAACAACTGCCTCAGCGCATCTGCCTTCCACTGCGCAAACCATGTCTTTCCACCGAGACTGGCCAACACTGTGCTTTAGCCAGCCACGCCCCTGGTCAAGTGCAATCAAGGGCATGAAGTGGCACCCTCCAGTAGCGTGCTCGTGGAGCGTGTTGTCCATGCCCCCGGACACAAGCACGAAGTCCGCGGTCGGGTTCGGAATCAAGAACTCTGCGTCTCGGAAGTAAGCGGCTGGGACGACTGTGACATCTGCGGGCAGCGGCGCTGAGTCCTCGTGCAGGTAAGACTGCAGCACTGGCCGGAGCAGCGCCCAGTCATCCGATGCGCCCCATAGCGGAGCTTGGCTTTGCTCCTCACTTGCCGCGTATTCCGGCTGCTGCCGGGCTTCAGACAAGCATGTCCTCAGCAACAGAATTCCTGTCTCATGGCTTTGAAGGCCACAAACAGGCAAGCATTGCGCCTCGCGTGGCTTGCTGTTACCTGCGCGGGCGTCTGTCACAGACGTGGCCAGCCAAGATGCTAAGAACTGGTCTGAGACATCGGAGGCAATTGACTCCCTGGCAGGTGTGTCTGCAAAGTCTGGCTGGGGCGCAGCACTCTCCACGGGGGTGGCTGGAGTGGCGGCTAGCTCTTCCTCCTCATATGAGCCCCAATGGCCTGCTCATGCCCGCTCACTGCCAATGTGTCTGCAGGGTCCGGGCTGGTCACCTCCGTCCTGGCAGCCCCAATGGCATTCTCGGGTGCTTCGTGAGCTTTCTCAGGCCCACTCACTGCCGACGCATCTGCAAGGGCAGGGCCGGTCGCTTCCATCTTGGCAGTCCCCTGGGAAGCTGCTGCCACTGTCTCATCAGCAAGCACAGGCCGCCGGAGCTCCAATGTCATGCTGTCGTGGCCCGCCTTTCTCACTGGAAGCGAAGTCGATCCTTGAGTGGCTGTATGGCTGCCAGACCCATGTCATGCTGCGGCACCACATGAAAGCAAGCGGCCTATGACCTTGCAGCATGACAGTGCCGAGCATGTGCAAAGCGCAGGCGTGCCTAGCAGGCAGTCTGCACTCAGCAGCGCGGCCTGCGCACAAAACAAGCGAGTGTGGAAAGCGACACGGCACAGAAAGACCGAACCCGAAGCAGAACAGATGGGTACTGGACACAGAAACGTTGCATCTGAATACAAAGTTGAGCCCGAAGGGCACTGCAACGTGTTGGGTGCTCCACAAGAAAAACCAACCAAGAACCCTTTGGGCATGACAGCAGCAAGAGCACTGCAGCATCTCCTGCACCTGGACCAGCTACCCACTCACCTGGCAAACAACATCGTGACAGAAGATGGCACAGCGTTGGACAACAATCTTAGGTCATCTCTGCGCGGCAGCTCTGCACGGCAGGCGTCTTTCACGGCACGTGCATCAATCTTTCGGGAAGACATGCTGCGGGACTTCTGCAAGCAGCGCAATGAGGCGATCGCGACATTTTTCGCCTCCAACACATGGGAAACCTTGGGTCTGTTTCGGCATCGCCGCACCAATTACTTGAGCAATTGTTTGCCAAGTCCAACCTAAGCCACGGAGATCATACACCCGCGCTATGTCTACTGAGTCAAAGACCTGTCCGCCTTCCATGTACTGATGAAACTCTTCATGCAGGTCACTACTGATTTTTGATGCGCAGCGCACGGCCTGCGACATCGGCTGGCCCACGGAAGCCTTACCAGCCAAAACAGCAGCGCCATGAACCTGCCCAAAGGTGGTGCCGGAGGGACCAAACAGAATAATCTTGCCAGCGTTTGCGAACTTCATCGCGTTCCGCGAAGTCGCGCAGGTGTACTTCTGGACCTCCACCCACTTGCGGCCAGAAGCTAAAGCCGTGCTCCAGACAGGTTGGAGTATTCGACGAAATACTTCTGCGCCATCGGCTGCGACAACCCGCCCGAAGCCTCCCTGCAGCAACCCTTGCCGAGAGCGTGCGCGAACACCCGGTGCAGCTAGGATACTCGATTGGCTTGCGCCTGGCGGGAGCAAAGCATCCGGGAATATTCTGCCACGCCTGTCATGGCCAACGGCACTGATCTTCCTGCCCACGCTAGATTCTGCAGAGGCGCCGTCAAATGGCTCGCGCAGCTGCTGCAGAATGTCAAGACGAGAAAAATCCTCCTGGCAGGGTGAAGCGAAAGACTACATGGAAACCGCGCGCAACATTTCCACAAACCACATCTGCAATGGCCCGGCCCTTTCCCCACCCGCCGCCTGTGAGAAGCTCAGCGCGCAGGACAGCAGACTGTTAAAGGACTCCTTGAGCACCGCATCGTTTCTGCACCAGCCAGGAAGGCTCGGCCCGTTGAAATGTTGGAAGTTGATCCTTAGGTATGCCATGTCAGCAAGGAATCGAAACCAAGGCAACCGCATGTTGCGTGCTTGTGATGGGAGTATGCACTGCGCTGTGCTCCACAGCCTCTCTACAGGCACAGTGCCAGTCTGCATGGGCAGCCCGGCGCGGCGCATTGCGAGTCATCAGTGACCGCGGTGCTACCGGCTTCCTTGTTTTTTTGCGAGCAGCCACGCGTCGCAAGATTCCTCTCTTCCGGGACCGGCCTTGGCTGACAGTCTTGCGACCTCGGCTGTACCATGCCCTGATTCGCCGGATCTCTCGCTTGAACTCTTTCTTTGTCTGATAGTTGAAAAAGCCGGCAGACTCATGCAACTCAACGCCACAACGTCTCGCCAGCCTGCTAACAAGGCCTCGCGGTGGCCAGGCGCCAAACAGCTCTTGCCAGACAGGCTCGTGCATGACATTCTGGCTTCCCAAAAAAGCACGTAGCTCCTCAGCACTTTGCGCATCATCCTGTAAAGCTGCTTGCCAGGCATCCACGTTCAGAGCCACACCCTTGCGCAAAAGAGCTTTGGCGGCTTCGGTGAGCTGCTGCGCCACATCTTGACTTCGGCTGTCCACGGCAGTCCCCCCGGGAGCTGCTTCCATGTTTGGCGCAAGCTGGTCGAGCAAGCGCGCCGGGGCGCTTAGTCTGTTGATGCAATCCTTGCAGGCTACGAGCCAACCACATATGCACACTGCTCTCTAACAGACACACATAACACCAAGAACAAACAACAAGGCGCGACAGTCCCCCAGAACGGCCACTCGCGCATACATACAGACAAGCAGCAGTGTGATCAAAGTAGATGTCGGCAAAATCGTGGCCCAGATTCGGCAGCGCCCGGCGGAGATTGATAAGCTCGTGCATGGGCTCTCCGGTGACCATCGTCGCACCCTCCTTGTCGCCGGACACCTTGTGCACCCTCTTGTCCCCAGACACTTTGCGCCTTTTGGAGGCTGGCTGGCTGTAAGGAATAGCTGAGCGTCTAGAAACTGTCCTCAAGTCTCCCTTAGGCGTGGCTCCTTTGGCCAGCGCCTGCTGCTCCAGCCAGATCCCATCATAGACGCGAGGCCAGAGTCTCCGATGCTTGTTGTAGGTGTCTGTGGCATGCACCGTCGGGCGCGAGTCCTCGGTAGACATACCGAAAGTCATTCTAATTTCCTTGGCCCGTTGCAGGAAAGGCCGCAGATCCTGCACCTGGTCTTCAAAAGACTCGCGGGCATGAGGACGAACGGCTTCAGGAGAGAACCGTCTGTGCCACACCACGCTAGCAAGCAAGTGTAGGGGTAGCTCCGCTTGCCAGCGTCGTCCAATTCGAACACCCGCGAAGCGATGTCGTAGTGCCCATCACCTCGGACAATGGAAAAGTTGAAAATGCAATGCCTCTGCACCATAATATTGACCTGTCGGGCAGCAAATATGGAGAAGGCCTTCAGCGCAATCAAGCGCAGCTCTCCTGGCGTTGGCAGCGCCAATGCCAGGGCCCCAATATTGGTCGGGCTCCGAAATTCGGACCGCCCCGCCAGAATCTGGCTCCTGACTTCCACTGACATGAAGGAAAACAGCTCTCGCCGCACAGCACGTAGATTGAGGTGTTCGTGCAGCGACTGCAGCAGGGTGAGCAGAAACCCGCCTGTCATGTAGCGCACGCGCTTGCTCTTGGCGCTGGGCTCAGTGCGGTGGGCGACTGCCTGCGGCAAGCACCGAAGCACATCCTCAGCTGTTGCCTGAAACAGTGGGACACATCCACAGCCAGAGCGGGTGCAAGTCTCACATCTCCGCGGCCGAACATCCAGGAGGTGAGGCAGTGGAGAGTCCAGCAAGAAAGTGGGCTCAGTGATTCGACCTGCGGTAGCCAGGACATGCCCCGGGAATTCTGACAGGTGCTCCTGCGCAGCCTGGGAGATGACCGTGTGGCTGTTGTCGATGGTGTTGGGCGCAGCTGCCGCTGTCTCCCAAGGCAAGACAGCGCAGCCTTCAGCTGCAGCCTTCAAGCACTGCCAAACGTCCACGAAGCTCTCCGACAAAGTCAAGTCCCCATAATGCCAAGCCGTTTTGGTCAAGTACACGGACTCCCTGACAAATCCCACAACTTGAAAGCCGAGCCCGACACTGCCCAGGTCGCTTTGGTCGCAGGTGCGCCCCCGGCGTCTATCGAGCACGAAGCCTGCGCCTTTAGGTGGATGCCGACTCTGCGTTGGGGCCGAGCATGGCAGTAAGGCCGCTGGCAGGCAGCAAGCGCGGCGCCGCCACTTCAGCTGCGCGCTGTGTGTTGCTGAATAGCCCGGAGCGCTGCAATGACTGCAGCACAGGCAACGTGCGTCCCGCCAGCATGCGCCTCGAAAGTGGATCCAAGACCTGGGCCGACGGCGCGGCAACGCCCTGACAGTGCCCGCTGTGCTCTTCCACCGCTCTCTGCCGGCGACTGGCGCCAGTGCGGAAAGCCCTGGCCAAGTTGACCCTCAGCGGCTTCTTTCGAACTGTCGCCTTGCCCCTCTTGCGCCACCGTCGCACACCGCACAGCCTGCGCGAGGCAATGGCAGCAGGCATGTTGCTGTAGTTGGCAGCGGCAGTCCCCCGGGGAGCTGCTTCTGTAGGTGCAGCTGGTGACAGCACCGCATCCATGGCAAGCACGCCTTGAGAGCCCATGGCTGCTAACACTAAAAAGTGAATGTGCAGTGCAAGTCACTGAAGAACACATGCCGAGCCACCAGCAAAAAGTACCACTAGCCGCCTTCCACCACGCCTCCGCGACTGAAGGCCTTCAGCAGCGCGATGCCTGGAGGTGCGCCGAGAATGCCGCAAAGAGAAGCACAGCCAGCGTTGCCCTTTTGCAGCTGCATGCGCCCGAAAAAAAAAACACGAGTCAAGTGCCCATCAACGCACGTTCACTTCATAGGCTTGGACAAGTGATCGCGCAAGCACAACTTAGCAACCGCCATTTGTATAACAAACCATCTGCATGCGTGCACTCACACACAACTCGCGGCCAGCATGGATACACCCATGGATGCACCCATGTTTCTTAAGGCCGCTGCTTGGACTGCACTGCTACCATCTGCGCTCTTTTCTGCTCGCGGCGCGAGGTCGCGGTGACAGCCAACGTACCCTGTATCCGGAGACTTTCGCGTGCCTGGCTTCTCGACACAAGCCTAATGCAAGACAGGCCCTGGTTCTTTAACGCTGTGCCTCCTTCAATAAAAGAGCTTTCTACCGTGCTTGGCTTCCCGACACAAGCATGATGGAAGACCGGCCCTGGTTCGTTAATGCTGTCCCTCCTATGATAGAAAGGTCTTGCTACCAATCGCAGCATTTTTTTATTGCAGGGCATATGTATTCACAGGGTACCGGGGTACCAGAAACCTGTTGGGGGCTCCGCTACCATGAAAAGTATGAGAAGGCTTCTCAGCCAGCACAAACAAGGCCCATGCAGTCTGACAGTCTCTCAGCAGTACTCCTTGCTCCATCATCTGAAAAAACATGGCAGTGCCCTGGGCAGCTGCCCTGGGCAGGTAGATATATAGCCTGATAGATAGATAGCTACATAGACAGAGAGGCAGACAGATAGAGAGATAGATTAAATAGA